TTGAACTAAATGGCCAAGACCTCTTGGGCCGTGCTGTGAGATTAGACCTGGCTCGAGAGAGGGGAGAATATACACCACGAACTGGGTATGCAATCTCTCTCACCTTATTGTTTCCATTGATGTTGAAAGTAGAGACAACATTTCAAGTATGTGTTATCTTATGGTTTGTAGGAGAGAAGAAAATTCATTCCAGAGGCAAGGTAGAAGTGAAGGAACAACAATTTTTGTTAGGGGTTTTGACAAAAATGAGGCTGAAGACCAGGTCTTTGTCATATGTATTTTTGTTTCTCTCCTTTATTTGTGACACTTCACTTTGATGTCTTAAGATGTGGTCTAAATATTTCAAATACGATTTCAGATTAGGAGTTCACTTGAGGAGCATTTTGCATCTTGTGGTAAGATCTTTAAAACAAGAATTCCTACAGACCCAGAAGGCTATATTAAAGGGTAAATATTTCTCATTATCATTTTCTTGTTTTCTCAAATTTGCGTTGTCTGAAATAATTTGTAGGTCGGCATTTGTTTTGTTTTGTACTGACTACTTTGGTAAATTTGCCCTTCTTGCAGGATGGCTTATATTGAGTTTGCAAATGGTGATAGTGATGCTTTGAACAAAGCTCTGGAACTAGATGGATCAGAAGTCGGAGGTTATAACTTGACAGTGCAAGAGGCAAAACCAAGGGGTGACAGTTCTGGTGGAGGCAGAGGTTTTGGTGGTAGAAGTGGTGGTAGGGGAGGTGGTAGAGATGGTGGTGGCCGCTTTGGTGGCCGTGGTGGTGGTGGCCGCTTTGGTGGTGGAGGCCGTGGTGGTGGTGGCCGTTTTGGTGGTGGTGGCCGTAGTGGTGGTGGTGGAGGCAGAGGACGAGGAACTCCCAACAGGCCAAGCTTCACTCCATCTGGTAATGTCATAATATAAATTTTACTGTCTCAATTAAGTGTTAATAATTCATTATTATTATTAATTCTTTTTTACATTCTGGTAATTGCAGGTAAGAAGACAACCTTTAATGATGAGTAACTTAAAGTTCGGACTCTGGCCGACTTATCAACTTCTCTCTCCTTAATCTTGTGACTTAGTTTTGGTTTTGAATTTTATAAATTTGTGAGTTAAGCAATACTTCGGAATGTAGTAGTTAGTATAAGAGTCCGGATAATTTTGTTTCCTTCAGTTATTGTGTCATTTAAACCATTCTTTTTGGGTGGAAAGTGAGTTCTTCATTGTTCATATTCAGTGGTTGGTACCAGACATAAGACCAACCTCTTATATTCTGCTGATACTCTACCTATATTTGCTGTGTGAAGTTACTTTTATTCAGTTGACCTTTTTAATACCTTACCCCTTGTCGACGAGAATTGAAAACAAGAATTCTGGAAGCTCCCTAATTGCCTCAAGTATTAAACAAAAAACCACATCAGCCTCCTCTGAAGTTTTCCCATAACTGCTCTTAATAGAAAAACTATCAAGAACAACTGCTTTATGTTTCTTGTGGTTCATTCTCAATTCATAAAATATTTCAAAGTATTGTTTATCAGCAATAACTATAACTATTCCTGAGTTAATATGATAAAACTCATAGCAGCCACTTCAATAACCACCTTCTGCATAGCTATTTCACAAGCTTTCTCCACAGTGCACTTGCCTATTAGTAATCTTGACAAGAGATACTCCAGATGGTTTTCAACTTCATCTTTAATAGAAGAAATTGGAATCTTGAGCTCATGAGAATACTGTTCAACCTTAGTGGCCTTCTCTAAGCTGGTTTCTGTAAATGCAACATCCAAATTCTTTCTAACATGTTCATATGACAAAGAAAAAACAGTTAGCTAGATACCATAACTCCATTAATTCATCTTAGTGTCCAAAGCAGTTCCCATGCTTTGTGGAATAACTCCATTATTCCACAAAAAACTTATTGCTAGAGAATCTCTTCCCGAAATATAACCCTCAGCTTCAGCTTTCCCTAATGAAGATTCAACAAAATCTCCACTGTCAGAAAGTTCTAAAATATCCATGACTTTCGGCCTACCATCACAAATAATTTGCAATCCAGTTGCAACATCCAATTCAGTTATTCAACTGACATTGGAAGAATAACAGAAACCAGTGGAACTATTTCCCCCTCTACATTCATCATATTCTCTCCATGGTTCGTCAATCTTTTCTGCATTTTTCTGAAGGCTAGTAGTAAACTGGTCACTTGGCTTCAACATGGAAGGTGTATTTTTACCAAAACCAAACAGCTCTAGCATAGTACCATCTGAATAGGCTAAAAATCTGCCTTCGGAATATTTAGCATAAAATGGCTTTGAAGAACGTCATCGGCCGAGCTCACCCAAGATATCGAGATTAATGGCCGAGGTGTCGATATGAGCCGTGGTCGCAGCATTGATAGATATCGCGGTCAAGATGTCAACAAGGGTCGAGGTCGAGATCGACTGTCAGTGATAAGACTTGTAAAGGGGAATATTTTAGTGAATATTCCTAATGTTTGTACTATTAGGGTTTTCTAAGAAAAAATATCCCATATATATAGAAAGAAAAAACAATGATAGGGGCATGTAATATTGATTCTGATAAGAACACTTTAGAAACGAAGACTTTCTCTCTTGCAAAAATATAAAGACTACCTTTTGATAAAGATTCTGGGCCATATCATTCTCACATTTCCACCAGATCCGAAGATTGTTCATACGAATCTCGGACTTATCTGTCATTCATATGGTGAAGAGAAATATTCGTTCAACCCATTCATTATTGAGTCAATCTTTCTCCTTATTTAATTAACTGTCATTTATTGCCATTTATTGTTAGTGACACCTCCATTAATATTCAGGCTTGAGGATATTTTGCATTCATTGTCATCAATCATTTATGGGAGATCCCATCTACTATACATTTTCAAAATTAGTATCTAGAGTTATTATTCTTAACTAGATTTAACCCCCTTGTTATATAAATTTAATAGTTTAATCGGAAGTTATATTTTTCGGTCAAACAATTTGGTGCCCGTCTGTGGGGATTTTCTAGCTATGTCATTTATTTAGTTTATTTACAACTGAAAATGGTTACTTAAAAAAAATAGCAAAAAGAACTTCCTTCCCTTTGTATGCATAGATCTAACATGGCAGGTAACAGAGAAAAAAGAACGAGAATAATGATCAACCTCCCAACCAACCTCATGGGCATCATCCACGAGAGCTCTGAAGCAGTAGATGAGGACACAACACCCAATGCCTCACCTAGGCGAGGTGGATTACCCCCTCCCCACTGCAGCATCACAAAATCCCATGGTAAGACCGCCTCCACATCCGTGGAAGAGGAGACACCGCCAGCGATAAAGAAGCTCCTTGAGGCTTGGCTGACTGATACATTGACCAGCGTCCTCCATAAGCCCGTTCAGGACGCGGCCGCAGTAAAGGCGAGATCATGCGCCACACCATCAGTGGGCGAGCAACGTGATCAACCTCCACCCACAAAGACAAGTATTGCTCACAATGTTGTTAACAATGCAAGCGATGACGCTCTCGCTACCATTCTGAAAAGGATGAAGGAAATGGAAAACGAGAACAAGACACTTCGAGATCAAATGAGAGAGCACCAAGAAAGGGTCGATAAAATACCGGGCGCTCCTAAGTTATTGCCGAAGAGAGATGCCAGTCGGTTCGTCGAGCAGCAGTACAATGACGCCGCCGCACCACATGCCATACCAAAGACCTTTAAAATGCCGCCTTACTTAAAAATATATGATGGCACAACCGATCCCGAAGATCATGTGACCCATTACGTCACCGCCGTGAAAGGCAATGATCTTGCCAAAGAACAAGTATCCTCCATTCTGCTAAAGAAATTCGGTGAAATCCTCACGGAAGCTATTAACCTGGTACTCGCAGCTGCCAGCACGTTCCATCGAAACCTTTGAGAAAATGGCCGACAAGTTCGTGACGGCCCATGCCGGGGCTTAGAAGGCCGGGGCAAGAGTGAATGACATCTTTGCTATCAAACAGTTCCCGGGAGAAGGACTAAGGGACTTACTCGCCCGTTTCAACCGAGTGAGAATGACTCTACCCAATGAATCAGAAGGAATGGCGGTAGCCGCTTTTCAAAACGGGTTGAATAGAAATGGTTCGAGAGCGACAAGAAAATAATTAAGTCGGCTCATGAAATACGGCGACAACTTGGGACGAAATACATAATGCATACTGCGCCGAAGTACGAGCAGACGAAGACGACCTTAATGGGCCGACTCATCAACTGACCTCAGTACAAGCAGAATCCAGAAAAGATATCAGAGAAATGATATCAGGAGAGATCCGGCGACCTCACGGCCGAACTGGGAACGACATCTCCCATATGTCAGGACTACCGTTGTATCCTCACCTCGCCATGAAGAAGGCCCACCCCGATCAAAAACAGGGACTCGCCAGAATGAAAGAGTCCCCTTTATTATCCGCTCACAATTTTTGTGTGTCACCTATAGAGATCGTCTACGCCTTGGAGAAGTTCCGACCAAAGGTAAAGTGGCCGCAGAAAATGAGATCAGACGCCCTCTGCGAGTTCCATCAAGAGCGAGGACACAAAACCGAAGATTGTATCGCCCTAAGACAGGAGGTCGTAAACATGCTGCGACAGGGACACCTCAAAGAATTGCTGAGCGATCGGGGAAGAACCAACTTTGCCAGGGGACGCGAACATCATCAAGGGCCACCGAAGCCGCCCTCGCCAGGCCGTACCACCATATGATTATCGGTGGAGGAGACAAAGCTTCCATCAATAGCGTAAAGTTCACCATGACTCACAAGCTCAAACGGTCGATCACCCTTGTATGATAAACTCGAAGAAAGTACCATCTTCGATAAGTCAGATACCAACGATTTGGCATTCCTTCACTATGTCGCTCTTGTTATTTATTACTTTACGAATTTTAGATACCGACGTAAGACGAATTATGGTAGACGACGGGAGCGGTGCGTGTATTATCCATCCCCAAGTACTCACACAAATGAAACTCGAGGACAAGATAGTACCACGTTGCATCACACTAACAGGATATAACAATGCAGTTGAACAAACATCTGGCGAGATCACACTCCCCGTCCTGGCAGGTGGCGTCACTCTGGAGATTACATTCCACATCATGGACCAGGATACGACATACAACGCCATAATATGGCGACCGTAGATACATTCCATGAGGGACATACCCTCCAGCTTGTACCAAGTCATCAAATTCCCAACTCCATGGGGCATATTCAGCATAAGTGGGGAACAACGCACATCATAAGAGTGCTACCACATCTCCCTACACTGCACGGCCGCTCAACAAAGGAGAGACAAAGAGAAAGAAGCATATCAACCAACATGGTCGAGGTTAGTAGGCGACGACATCAAGGATGTCATTAGAGATCCCGATGTGGACGGAGCCGCAGGACCGACCATAGAGGACCTCGATCTCGTTCAGCTAGACGTCAACGACTACAACAAGAAAGCTTACATCGGCTGCAAACTAACCAGGTAAGTTCCGCAAATTTCTAATTGCTAACCCAACTTGTTTGCTTTTAGCCATGCAGCTATGCCAGGTATCCCAAAGGATATCGCCACACATACATTGAGCGTCGACCCACTCTACCCCCCGGTAAGGCAGGTTCGGCGCAAGTTCAACCCCGCAATCAATAACGCGGTGCGCGAAAAAGTGGAAAAACTGCTAGAAAATGGTTCTATCAGAGAGTCAAAGTACCCCCAATGGGTAGCCAACATTGTCATGGTGAAAAAGAAGAACGATAAGTGGCGGATGTGTGTAGACTTCACTGACCTAAAAAAAGCCTGCCCCAGGGACTCGTTCCCTATCCCACATCGACCAGCTCATCGACGCGACAACCGGGCACGAGTTATCAAGTTTCTTGGATGCCAACTCGGGCTACAACAAGATCCTTATGGCGGAAGAGGATTAGGAAAAAGACCACCTTCATCACCCACCAGGGGACGTACTGCTACAGGGTCATGCTTTTCAGATTGAAAAACGCGGGGGCAACTTACCAAAGGTTGGTGATGAGGATGTTCAAAGAACAACTCGAAAATACGATGGAGGTATACATCGACGACATGCTGGTCAAGTCCAAAAGAAGGGAATATCACATCGACCACTTAAGAGAAGCATTCCGCATACTCGGGCTACGACATGAAACTGAACCCCGAGAAATGTGCATTCGACGTGACTTCAGGGAAATTCTTGTCGCAGCGGGGTATCGAGGTCAATCCAGACCAAATCAAGGCTATCGAGGGTATACAAGAGCACTTGACTACCAAAAAGCAAGTCTAAAAGCTAACCGACCGAATAGCCGCTCTGTCAAGGTTCATCTCGCGGTCCTCCGATAAGTGCCACAAGTTCTTTGGCGTACTCAAAAAAGAGAACGGCCTCCAATGGACCCCTGAGTACGTCCAAGCGCTGAAGGAGTCAAAGGTGTACCTATCCTCACCGCCGTTTGTCACGACCCAAAATCCCAACTTGTCGTGATGGCGCCTATCTCGATACTAGGCAAGCCGAAAATCTCAATAAACCAAAACCCCTCTTTAAGGTTGAAAATATAATATTTAAATACAATACAAACACTCCCCAAAACCTGGTGTCACTGAGTACATGAGCATCTAATATGAATACAAGTCTGGAAAATATAATCTATAATAGTCTGAGACCAAATACAGTAAACAAAGAGATAGAGAAGNAAGCAACTAAGTGCAACAACAAATGGAAATCAAGTACAATCAAGTACAACCTCTTAGGACAACAATCACTCACTGGGCTCCCAACCCTCATCACTCCCTGGGATCCCAGCTCTCATCACTCACTCTCAATGGGTACCCGCGCTCACTGGGGGTGTACAGACTCCGGAGGGGCTCCTACAACCCAAGCGCTATAAACTGCACGGACAACTGCTGCACGGACAACTCACGTGCCATAATATAAATATCTGGATCCGCACGGCCAACTCACGTGCTGCACGGCCAACTCACGTGCTATAGTATAATATAAGGATCCGCACGGCCAACTCATTTGCTGCACGGCCAACTCACGTGCTATAGTATAATATATATAAAGCCAACATGGCCTGCTGCGGCGTACAACCCGATCCCAAAAAAATATCCTCACAATCAGGCCCTCGGCCTCACTCACTAATAAACCTCTCCAGTCTCTCACGCTCTTAATAATCATGAAATCATCCCAAACAACAATGATATGATGTATCAATAATAATAACAGAGACTGAGATAAAATGTGCAAGTAAAAGCTGAGACTGAGTACATATAGCACTTAGCAGGCAATTCAACAAGTACGCGACCTCTGTGGGTCCCAACAGTACTATCACATAGCCTAAGCATGATTTCTAACATGATTTACAGTCAACTTTTATCAACACATAGAGAGCATAACAACAAATTATTCAACTTTACAGTTTTTCGGGACGGACCAAGTTACAATCCCTTCGGTGCACGCCCACACGCCCGTCACCTAGCATGTGCATCACCTCCAAAATAATCNTTTGCTGCACGGCCAACTCACGTGCTATAGTATAATATATATAAAGCCAACATGGCCTGCTGCGGCGTACAACCCGATCCCAAAAAAATATCCTCACAATCAGGCCCTCGGCCTCACTCACTAATAAACCTCTCCAGTCTCTCACGCTCTTAATAATCATGAAATCATCCCAAACAACAATGATATGATGTATCAATAATAATAACAGAGACTGAGATAAAATGTGCAAGTAAAAGCTGAGACTGAGTACATANAAATTAATTCCATAAGAAAATAATAATTTTTCATAAAAATCCGAAAATTAGCTCAAAAATCGCCCGTGGGGCCCACGTCTCGGAACTCGACAAAAGTCACAAAATCCGAAATCCATTCAACCACGAGTCTAACCATACTAATTTTATCAAAATCCGACCCCAACTCGATCCTCAAATCTTCAATTTAAACTAAGAGGGTTTTCAAACTTTTCCAACTTAATTCGCCAATTAAATGATAAAAACAACCATGGATTCGGGTAATTTAAATATTGAGTTAAGAACACTTACCCCGTTGTTTTCCTTGAAAAACACCCGAAAATCGCTTCTTCCCGAGTTCAAATCCGTCAAAAACTTAAACTCTTTGTCCAGACCTCTCTTCTTCACGAACGCGACAGGTCCCTCGCGTTCGTGAAGCACCACTCGACTGCCCACAATTTTAACCCTTTGCGAACGCGACCGTGGCTTTGCGAACGCGAAGCTTTGCAAATCTTACCCTTCACGAACGCGACCACGGCTTCGCAAATGCGAAGCTTTACCAGCTCAGACCTTCGCGAACGCGTAGAATAAGGACCCGGGGGTCCCCAATAGCCTCACTCCTCTTCGCGAACGCGACACCTACCACGGGTTCGCGATGCACACACAGACCATACCTTCGCGTTTGCGTCCTCCCCTTTGCGGACGCGAAGAACAAAACCTCACACTCAGAAAACACTCTTCGCGAACGCGAAGGAGAAAATCAGAAAAATGCAGCAACAGATATCAACAATCTCACAAAGGCCAAAAATGATCCGTTAACCATCCAAAACTTACCCGAACCCCTCGGGACCTCAACCAAATATACCAACAAGTCCTGAAACATCATACGGACTTAGTCGGACCCTCAAATCACCTCAAACAACGCTAAAGCCATAAATTACACCCCAATTCAAGCTTAATGAACTTTGAAATTTCTAATTTTTACAAACGACTCCGGAACCTACCAAATCACGTCCGATTTACCTCAAATTTTGTGCACAAGTCATAAATGACATAACGGAGGTACTCAAATTTTCAGAATCGGATTTCGACCCCGTTATCAAAAAGTCAACCCCCCGGTCAAACTTCCCAAAGATTCAACTTTCGGCATTTCAAGCTTAATTCCCCTACGGACCTCCAAATAATATTTTGGACACGCTCCTAAGCCCAAAATCACCCTACAGAGCTATTGGGATCATCAAAATTTAAATCCGAGGTCATTTACACATAGGTCCATATTCATTTCACTTTTCTAACTTAAATTTTCAATTATAAGACTAAGTGTCTCATTTCACTTCGAATTCCTTCCGGACCCGAATCCACTAACCCGGTAAGTCATAAAACAATTATAAAGCATAAATTGAGCAGTAAATGGGAGAACGGGGTTATAATAATCAAAACAACCGGCCGGGTCGTTACATTCTCCCCCTCTTAAACAAACGTTCGTCCTCGAACGGGTTTAGAA